TGCGTGTTTATTGAGCATAGCTCGAACATGTTAACTGGCTGTCTAGCAGTGCGAAGCTGACGCAGTGTGAGGGCAGCACAGGAATAAAGACATTTCTAGCAGAAATGAAGACTGAAAAGGTCAAATTGGTGCATAAAAAAATCCCCATAATGCAGTAAATAAATTATTTGATACCTAAAATTACCTGTAATCTGTAACTCAACTGAACTATCAGTGTTTAGGCCAGGTTGTTCAGCTGTTTATTCTTTAGATAAAGCCACATAGCCACACTAGCCCTTCTTCTAGACAACAATTTAATTTCCAATAGTCTATTAGTTATTTTGCCTGTTGAGTTTCTTTATTCATACTGTTTGCTATCAATTTAAACTGTTAATCCACTTTTTGCTAACGATTTCAACTAGCCATACTTCTAAAAAAAAAAAAAAAAAAAGTGACCTTTTTACAAGACTGAATTTCCCTTCTGGGATAAATAAAGTATTTTTCATTTCATTTCATTTCATTCATTCATTATTAATCAGAGCAAATCTGCTGTTTGTACTTGACAGATAATTTCATCCATTGTCCAATGAAAGCTTATCTAACTGGAGCAGCTTATAATAAAAGAATAAAAACGCGTTTTCATTGCTGCTCAGCTACCTGACGCCATATTTGGGTTGCTACTTTGTTGATTTTCAAGGCCACATGCATACACACAGTAATATCACTGTTGCAAGTATCCTGCTGTGAAACAGAAAAATCCGACTACGAAAACTTTTAACATGCCAACGCACAACTCAAAATTAATTATGATCATGATTTTAAACTATTGACATAATTCAACGAGCAGCAGAGGACTTTTATTTTGAAAAAAACAAAACAAAACAAAAACCCTGTGTTGACTCAGCAGAGATAATACTAAACTTGATCTACAAGAGAATATACATTCAAAAGCAGTACAGAATGCCTCTAATTGGTTCATAATAATCTGTTTTAGCTTGAATTATCATGCCCAATTTTGGTGTTGTATTTTACAGGAGTTGTGCTGTCTTTGAAGTTGATATGTGTAAGTTGATTAAAAACACAAGTTAAATAAATTAGTTAAAAAGTAGGATTAAAAAGTTAAAAAATTGTTTTTTGTAGTTCTTTGAAAATCTGTCAGAGTGAGCGCTCTGTGCCTTGTATTTGGTTTTTGAATTTGCGGCAGAGTGAGCCATCTTACCAATACATTGTGAACTATCTTTGATTCTCCGTGAAGAGAGTTCAACTTGTAACGGCTATCAGTAGCACAACGGAGCTTCACGGCATTGCTAAATTTTTCATAATGCTTTTGCCTTGGAAAATATTTGCCTTTAAGTAAAAGTGTGCACAAGCATGAAATACAATACATATGTGTTTTAGAGCAGACGTTTCTGTTTCTGTCACTCCGCTTGTGATAAGAGCCGTTAGCAGCTAACCCATGTAGCTAACTTTAGCTAAAGGTTTACTAACTGTCGTTAAATGTGTTCATGCTACATAGCAGCTATATGTTTTGTTTCATGTTTATGTTGTGTGATTGTGTATTTATTTTATTTTTTCTGTATTTTCAGTACAAGACGTTTGAAAGCTATCAAAAGAACAGTAAATGCGAAGGAAAGCAAGCCCTGCGTGTTTATTGAGCATAGCTCGAACATGTTAACTGGCTGTCTAGCAGTGCGAAGCTGACGCAGTGTGAGGGCAGCACAGGAATAAAGACATTTCTAGCAGAAATGAAGACTGAAAAGGTCAAATTGGTGCATAAAAAAATCCCCATAATGCAGTAAATAAATTATTTGATACCTAAAATTACCTGTAATCTGTAACTCAACTGAACTATCAGTGTTTAGGCCAGGTTGTTCAGCTATTTATTCTTTAGATAAAGCCACATAGCCACACTAGCCCTTCTTCTAGACAACAATTTAATTTCCAATAGTCTATTAGTTATTTTGCCTGTTGAGTTTCTTTATTCATACTGTTTGCTATCAATTTAAACTGTTAATCCACTTTTTGCTAACGATTTCAACTAGCCATACTTCTAAAAAAAAAAAAAAAAAGACTTCTGTTTAGATTAGATTGGATTAGTTTAGATTAGATTAGATTAGATTAGATAGAACTTTATTGATCCCTTTGGTAGGGTACCTCAGGGAAATTGTTGTTCTAGAAACAGCACAACACCGACAACGACAGTAGCACACATGAGTTAAGAAAAAGGCAGTAAACAAACTGTTAGATAGGACAGCAGCACGGTGTAATAATAGTAATAATAGTAACAATAACAATAATAGTGATAATAGCAATGTAAATGTTAATGTAAATAATAATGATAATAATACTGCTAATAATAGTAATATGCTATATAATATGATAACAATCAGTGTAGTTATGGGTAAATATAGTTGAGTATATAAAATGTAATATAAAATGTAAAAGAGATTATTTTAATGTATCACACTAGCCTTTTAAAGAAGTCTGCACACTTCTTCACTACAAGCATCAGAATTCTGGCAGGGTTTAGCCAACATTAATTAGACCAGGTCATTATTTCAGCCCAGTCTGAAGAAAAGAAGATATCATGCTTGAAGAGGTTGTCCACCCCTGACCTGCTCTGCCAGATGGACATTCTGCTGTTTGTCTAAAAATTCATTTTTGGGAACTTTTTCTACATCTCTGTGTCTTGATATCTTTTATTGTTGAATTCGGCAGCATTTTCAGACCTCATTATGGAGTTCCTGACCTACGATGCAGCTAAGCATTTCATGTGAAACAGAGAGACGCCTGACACAGAAACAGACTTTAGCCGAGTATGTTTTAATCCTTTGACTCAGAGAGTGTTTTCCAGAGAACTGAGCGGAATTATTTCAGTTTAGAAGGGTGTGGTATGCTGTTTTAATGTGATAAACCTTATTAACCTGCTTTTCCCATGTAATCACACTTATCACTGTGGACATTTAGAGCTTCAACATTGGCTCTGTTTTTTTCAGATGCCCAAGTAAACACAAAGCAGATAATCACTCATTTTCATTTTTTTACACCTGCTTTTTCCATGTCAAAATGCCAGCTGTGAAATTCCTGTATTTTGTTAAAAGACACAAAAAATGCACAGTGCATGGTTTGTCTCCATAAATCATTTATTTCTCAACAGAAATGCAATCAGTCTCATCGTGGGTCATCAGCTGGAGCCCACACTCAGCAGTGACAGCAACACGCAGTCAGTCCATGTCAAATATCCAACAACAAGCTGCTGATTTTAAGTAGAAGCATTGGAACAACTATACGTATTTTAAACATCACATGTGGCATGATATGTTGAAGTGTCTCCAATTTTCTGCATGGATGAAAAATAATCTTACAGGTAACACAGTTGCACCTTTGACCTTTGCTCAGTGGTGAGCAGAGACTCTTGTGTTGGCTTCCAGCTACATTCATACACACTTTCAATCATCTCTTGAATGCATCATGCCACCAGGTCAGTCTAAGTCGCTTAAACCAGTGCCAATTTCTGTTGGCACTTAAGGTTGCCGTGTCAGACGCCTCTCATAAAGCTGTCGCTCAGGACTGTGGGTGAAGGAGGAGGCTTCCACCCTGAGGGTCCCTGGGCTCCTTAGGGATGGTGCGATCAGATGTTCTTACAGCAGGGCTTCTTCTCCTCTGCGCTTTCTGCTCCATGGCTGTTGAGGGACACTGCGCTGATGGAGCCTCGAACCACCTCCTTACTGCTCACCTTCTTGTGAATCTCTGTGACATGAAATTGAGACATTTGAAACATTTACATGATGGGGACTAATATCATCTTGTCCCGGGCCTAGGGAAGGCTGTCAGCTGGCCTGGACAAAATATACACTTTTTGGAAGCGAAAGACAGGAGGACAGTAACATTCATATTCATTTATGTCAACAAAGCAGAAAAAAGTTAAATGTTTGCAAAAAAACAAATTACCTGCTAAGACATCGCTGAATGCTGCTTCTACATTAGTCGACTCCAAGGCAGAGGTCTCCAGAAACAAAAGGCCTTTTTTTTCTGAAAGATAAAAATTATGTATATTATTTATGAAATTCACCTCTTTTTCCATTCTGTCATATTGTGTCACAAGTTACACAATCACAGTAAACCTTATACATACTCTAAAAGATGGTTTAAGGGATCTGTTCCCACCACTTAATTAAATGCATGATTGTAAGAATTAAAAAAAAAACTAATTTAATGATTTAGACATCTTTTAAATTGATAACATTATTTTGATGAGTTGGGTTGATATAATAATATAAATTGTATCAACCTAACGTTATGTGTAATATTTAAACTCTTTTTTTTTTTGCATTAGTTGTTTTAAAACTAAATTCAAGTTGAGGGAACTTCATGAAAGTGGCTTCCTGACAAAGTTTTTCTTCAGCTTAAGGTAAGGATTTCATGTCTCCTCCCCTACATACTTAACATTGGAACAACTTGATTTTTAAAAAATTTGCTAAACTAAAAACTCGTGTTCAAGTGGTAATTAATTTGATTGTAGTGGAAAGTATTATTGAACCAAAATGTTTTTTTTAATGTTTAGAATTATTGGAATTCTCTACATAAATAATGTGTATGCTAGTCCTGTTACAAAAGGACAATAAATTCTAATAACTTGTTTAATTGTAAACTAAATTGTATAATTCATCCCACTCTCACCCAACCGGTCGAGGCAGATGGCCGTCCCTCCCTGAGCCTGGTTCTGTCGTAGGTTTTTTTTCCCCTGTGGGGGTTTTCGGTTCCTTCCCACTGTTGCGGACTGCTTGCGGACTGCTGAAGCTTATAGGGAATCCAGATGTTTTGGATTGTTGGATGTTTCTGTCTCTGCCTTTGTGAAGCGCTATGAGATGACTGTTGTTGTAAATATGCGCTATACAAATAAAATTGAATTGAATTGAATAGTTAGAACCAATTTTTTCTTTTTTATGAGTAATCACCTTAAAACTTGTGTTCATGGTGCCGATCATTCAATAAGCTGTAATTTAAAATATATTTGATTGCAGAAGAAAAGCTAATTCCCATAACTCAATGTAGTTTGTTGATTGAAAAAAATGTCATTAGAAGCTGACATAAATCAAAAGGATGTATGCAAACTGGTGTGTTTTTTGTTATTGTTGTTGTTGAGCCTGTAGAGTATTTTTTTGAGTTCATTGTGAGTTTAACAAATTAGAGTTAGTCTTGTAATCATAAAGGGCCAACAAACAAGAATTTGATTTGATTCTGTGCACGGTCACAGTGAAAGCTCATACAATTTGGCAAGCAGACTAATATAAATTCTCAAAAATGATCATAAACTCAGTTTCCACTAACCGATTCAGAACACATGCGCTGATTTTCCACTCAGCGGTAACACTTGCTGACTCAGTACCTGCAAAGTCTTTGGCCTCCTCAGTGGGCACAGACCTCTCGGACTCCAGGTCAGTCTTATTGCCCACCAGCATTACCACGATGTGGGGGTCAGCATGGTCGTACAACTCCTTTAGCCAGCGCTCCACACTCTCATAGGTGAGGTGTTTGGTGACGTCGTACACCAGTAGGGCTCCAACAGCACCTCTGTAGTACCTGTTAGGAGGACACTGGCTTTATAGATGCTGCTCATGTCTCATATAGTTAACTGAAGGTGTTACGATAAATCGGGAAAATTTTCGGTGAAGCTCAACATCTGTAACCTTCATGAAGCTCTAACAATTGCTGAAGTGCCAAAAATTGCAATTCCTCAAATGGTCACTTGAGGCTGATTCTAAAATGGAGTCAATCTCCATAGACCTCTGCATTAAAATGTCCCAATATACAGCAGTTTACAGACTGATACAAAAAAGTGTTCTGGTCTCTAGTTGTATTAAGGCTCAATGTTTTGCATAAATTAAGGATACAGTGAGAACATGCCTGTGCATTCTCATAGCGCCTCCAGGGAACCTCCTCGATCTTCAATCTTCTCTCCTCCAGATGCCTTTAAGGAAATGAGGCATCCTCAAAGATGGAACACTAAGATTGTTTTTCAGTTTACAGACAGAAGGTTGAGGAGACAAGGAGGCTTAAAACAGAGAAATGGGTCTTGTAGCAACAGTAGGTTTTGTAGTCGCTTGGCAAAAGCACAAACAAGCTGTAAACACCTCCTTATAATTCTGATTTTAAAACCTTTTCTTTAGTTTGAATTTCAACAGTTTTTAACAACTCTGACCAAATATTATATGCTTTACTTGTGAATAATCTTCTTTTGCTTTCTTATAGGTTTGATTTAATATTTATAGGCGAGTATGTGTGTTGCAATTTTAACTTAATATCTGACAAACATCACATTTTTTTTTGTCTTCCTGAAAGAAATTAATTTCTATAGTTACGCATCACTAAAGGCCTAAACATCGCCTTTAAACACACTAACATGATTAGTTGTTACCTTAAATGATTCCACTGACTTTTCAGTGTTGATCTTTGGTGTAAAATTCGTGAGGAGAACTTGCAACAACTAAAAATTGGACAGAAATGAAACAGTGAATGACTGCAACTCTCAGGCTTGATGAAAAATATCTGATGAAACACGTACTTGTGAATTTAATTGCAAAATGTACTCTCATTAAAGCTCTGTTTTGGTCTCTACTGGCTCTTGACAATAATATCTGTCTCTTTGGTGGATATAAACTCTAACTTTGTCTGCTTGCAGTGTGCAGTGCTTTTTCTTTTCTGTTTTGTTTTTTGGTGGGTGTTTTTTTTTGGGGGGGGGGGGGGGAAAATGGCATTATGAGAGGATTAAAAGTACAATAAAACACTTACATTAATGTTTCAAGACACTAAAATGCCACAGTTGAGGGAAAAACTGAATCAGGTGATAGTTCAATGTGAGTTCACCATTTCAAGTGACTACTTTCCCATTACATATAGTCATTTGATCCATTGCTGTAATAAGAAATGTAGACTATAGCTGCTTTATTGAGCAGGAAAAAAAGCATAAAAGCAATTTGTCCTGCTGTCAACAACAACAACAACAACAACAACAAAAAAAGCAGATTACTATGAACCAATCAATACTTATTTCACAATTACATTTCGGCTCCTCTTTTCCTGCAGTATAATTAATTCACCTTTAATAGGTTTTAGCTGCTTGTTACAGCACAAATGAGGAATTCCATGGGAGTGAGAATTTGCATACTGGAATAAGTCGGCAAGTAATTACTCCAAAAGCCAAGCTGTCAGAAAGGAGCTAATCCAGCAGTGTAGCATATCCTCCAATTTTTCCATGTCTTAAAAATAAAACTGACATGGTTCTATTGTTTTAAAACCAGTTTCCACACTGTTAATCCTTCTAGTTTAATTAAAAGAAGAGAAAAAAAATGAATCAGTGGTGCCCTCAGATAGACACACTGAGGGCTGAGTTCTTAAACCAATGTCTCTGCTCCTACCAGCTACATTTTGGAAGCCGACTGTGCCAGTTGGAAACTGACTGGAGACAAGATTTAGCTGGTGGTTTTCCTGGTAACGTGGGAGGAAGCTGAGGATCAGTGCCTGTCCTCACGTGTGTTTTGGCTGACAACAGCACCACCTTAAGATGCCGACATACAGGTTGCTCAACAGGTATGGAGCAAGAAAACAAGCATTAAATGTTGATTTCAAAAGCCTGTTTTTACCATCTGTGTGGGAAGTTTAAAAGAGCAAAGAAATACAGTTTGGGAAAGGCAGACATATTTATTCCTAGTTGCATGAGGCAAGTTCTTTATGCAAAAATGAAAGAATGATGCAATTTGAACATGATCATCTTGTCTCAGCTAACTGCTGTGGAGAAGCATCCCCACAACATGATGCTGCCACCACCATGCTTCACAGTGGGGTAGTGTGTTTGTGATGATGTGCAGTGTTTGTTGTCTGCCAAACACAGTGTCTGGACTAATGGCCAAAACGCTCCAATTCAGTCAGCAGCACATTAGCTTAGTTTATAACAAAGACTGGAAGCAGAGGGAAACAGTTAGCTTGCTCTGTCCAAAGGTAAAATAAATCGGCCTACCAGCACGCCAGTCTGCTGGCTTCCTGGGCCAGCTTTCAAACGATCAGCAGAGACTCCAAGAGGTTACTGGAAATTGTCTGATACATAATTACCCATACTATGCTTTGTCCTCCAAAGAGATTCTCAGCAATGCCATAGGGAAAACAAAAGTGCCAAAATGATAAGAAGTGAAAATAATATGAGGTTACATTTACTCAAATATTTGTTGTTTTTTTTTCTGGTGAGAGATGGTAAGAAATAACTTGAAAATACACAGATTTCTGTCAGCTGGGGAAACACGGACTCATTCTTTATATGGTATGCAGATTAATCAGGCTGTCACATGGAATCACCCCTCAAAGGCCCATTTCTGAGTCAGGAAAAACTGAGAGAGGCTAGTACGCAGGTTTTCTATTTATGTAAAGTGGGTATTCAGTTGTTGGGTATTTGTACTCACGCAGAAGTGATGGCCCGGTATCGCTCCAGCCCGGCCGTGTCCCAGATCTGGGCCTTGATGGTGAAGCCGCTGAGCTGCACAGTCCGTGTGCTGAACTCCACTCCAATGGTCGTACGGCTGTCGTGGTTGAACTCGTTTTTGGTGAAGCGGGACAACAGATTGCTTTTTCCGACACCAGATTCTCCTATTAGAACCACTGCAGATGATAGAAAACCATGCAATTGCAGTTCAGTTCCTTCGGGTATTTGATTGTTGCAAAGCTGCAGCACCAAAAGAAATATTTACAGAGTCAATCCCGTGACATCCACTGCATCCTTTGATTGAGGCCTTTAGTCTAGGTGTGTCTTATTTGCTCCATAAATCTGCAGTCTTAGCCGTCTGAGACCAGGCAATTTACATCATTTGGCAATGCCTTTATGGTAAATGAGATAACTGTTTTAATACTCCATACTGCAAACAGTTTCTGGGCGTTTATTTGCTACTGTTGGATTTTTCCCCACTATGAGCTCATTTTTTACTACAATATAAAGTATTGCACCTCTATGGAAACAACACAACCATGACTGGAAGAAAATTTCTTTGAGTGTCCACAGATGTTATCAATATTGGACAAAAATATGGCTGTACATTCTGAAGATATCTTACTGCGTATACTTTTACAGCGTCTACAAACTCTACGTTTTTCACACTACTACTGGACATTAACTGTAAAGAGTAGTTTCACCATGCTGAATGTGTCTTCCAACAACTTTCCCCTCTGTATACCATTTTTGTGCCACGCTGCACTTATTTTATTGACCAAGTTTTTTATGTTTTGTTTTTTCTTTGTCTCTTTAACTCTTTAATTTGCTTCCATGTTTGTCTCTTCTCTGCTCCGTGTAAACACTACCTCCAGTTCATCTGAAAACTGTCTGAATTTTTGACAGTAACTGGTGGGCACAGCTCAGTACATCAGGGTTTCCCCGTTGTCCTGAGGGGCACAGAATGTTTAGCTTTTTTTTTAACAGAATCTGATCAAGACTTTCTTTTGGGTGAGTTTTTAAATTAAACTTGTAGCATTAAGTGATATTCATGGAACATCACTGAAGCTTTGATTTGTGTAATTTCCAGATGGAATCACGCTTTACACATGATTAGTTCAAGGATAAATAGTGTCATTTTGGTGATTATTTACAAGATAATTTGTCTTCCCCACTCATTGGCTAGTTTTGGGGTTCAAATATAATTAAAGGAAAAAAGAATGCAGATAGATAACAATCAGTGTTAAATATCACCTTTATTGATTAGTGCATAAATAACCATTTTGTGGAGTTTGGGTTTATCCCAGCAAACACCAGATGAGATGCCTATCGTAAAATATGCTGTTGTCCTGTTTCTTTTTTATGTTAGACAGCAGTAAATGAGGGTGGCAAGGTTTAGGACAATGTTTTCATTTATGCATGAAGCTGTGGATCACAGCAATCTGATCAGTTGTGCCTATTTTCTCTTATGACAGACAAGTTGTAAAAAAAAATTATATTTTTTAATGTACTATAGTTTCGTCTACATTTGTCAACACTGTATATAAGACACACACTTCCTCCACTGCAAAACTGAAAACCTTTGAGGTACAAACCTGCCACAAGCGAACCTTTGTTTCTCGAAATACAACAGTTTGTAAGGTGATTCCAAATCAGGTGGAACAAGTTCAGCTGCTACTTCCTTTAATGTTGGTCAGAGGAACCTACCTACCTGCTGGGTAAACAGGACCTGAGGTAACACTGACACCCCCTGTGCAGATCTCAGTGACTAATGCTTGGCTTTCAGTCGTTAGTAGTGACTCAGACAGAAAAACAGGCTTGGCTTAATTGGCACTGAGAAGGAAGTATGACCAAACCTGAAAACAGAGAGGGGATCTGTGCACAAGTGGATAACACCCAGGTTAGAGCTTATTGCTGAGGCATTTTTTGCTACTGATCTAATAATCCACGCTGTTACGACATCTCCAAAGACGTTAATTATGGAGTTTGGGAGTGATGAGAGTTTAATAAAATATTTGGACATTCAGGGGAACACCATTGCTTTGTTGTCGAGAGAAGACTATTCAACCCAACACTAACATGTCATTAGAAACAACAGATTTAATATGAGAGTACATTTAAGTTTGCATTCTCGGTTATTCAGCTGCTACAGTAACGCAATTTTTCTACAAACAGCAAGTCAAATCATTCCAACCACAAAGACAGTCAGTAGAAGATCAAAGTAATTATTTAAATTCACTCCAGAAAAATACTTGAGTACAATTTTGAGTTACTTTTGTACTTTTCAGTTGAACATGCTATATTTGAAATGTGTGGTTCGTGAAATAAATATGCATTTTGATAGAGTACCCAACAGTTTGTTGAAACTATAATATGTCTGGTGAAACTTGCTGTGTGCTATTGCTGCTACTAGCACAATGCTGTTAACCTCTTTGCTCCATAGACTGTATAAAAGATGGACGTAGCAACCGGCCCTGAAAAATGAAGCCAACCCGGAAGTGTCAAAAACCTGCAATATCACTACGTCCGCTAGTCCTGGCTCCAAAAAGCCCTGGCTCCCATAGAAATGAATTGGAAAAGAAGTGATCACAGATCACGAAATACCGCATTCCTACAGCTCTGTTAGCTCCTGATGGCATCAGCTGACTCTTGTTAGATCCTATAGGCTCCTTCTAGTTCTTGATGGCTTCTGTTAGCTCTTGATGCCTCCTTTTCACTACAAATACCACATGTTAGTTCCTGATGGCTCTTGTTAGTTACAAATAGCATCTGTTAGCTCCTGATGGCTTCTGTTTGCTACAGATAGTACCTTTTAGCTCCTGATGACTCATATTAGCTACAGATATCAGCTTTAGCTCTTGATGACTTCTGTTAGCTACAGATAGTCTCTGTTAGCTCTTGATGGTTTCTTAAAGCTACAAATAGCCCCTGTTAGTTCCTGATGACTCTTGTTAGCTCCAGAGAGCACTTGTTAGCTCATTATGGCTTCTGTTAGTTACAAATAGCATCTGTTAACTCCTGATGGCTCCTGTTAGCTACAGATAGCACCTTTAGCTCTCTGTGGTTGTTATTAGCTATGGATAGCACCTGTTAGCTCTTTATGGCTACTATTACATACAGATCGCACCTTTAACTACTTATGACTCCTGGTAGCTACAGAGCACACCTGTTACCTCCTTTTGCTTTCTGGTAAGTACAGAGAGCACTTTATGCTCCTGATCATTTATATTAGCTACAGCTAGCACCTGATAGCCTTTTATAACTCCCATTAGCTAGAAAAAAAACCCCCATTAGCTCCTGATGAGTTTTATTAGTTCGCATTGAGCTGCACACCGTATGTCATTTGTCTGGGTTTGCAAAATTTGACCAAGGAAAAAGAACAAGAACAAGCTTGAAGGACAGTAAACCTTTTTGTCTTAATGTTTACGCATTGGCACACTCAATTAGCTCCATCTTGACAATACTGAAATTGAGAGGTGATAAAATTTTGAATGTTTTGACATAAGAGCGATATTGCAAAGGGTTGTATTCACATCTGTACCACTGTCTAAAATGAGGTAATCAGGTGTTTAAAGTTAACTTACAAATAACCATGAACAGTAATGCCCATCTCTGAAACTGTAATTGCTCATTGTTTTGATATTAACTGAGGTATTACCACATTTTCTTCTAAAACGAATATGAAATATGCCCTTATGAATATTTACTGTGTGGACTGTACTTTTGAGGTATTTTAAGTTTCCACCAGCAGCTGTACTGTGGGCAATACCACAAATATATTTCCAGTCCTGAAGGTCAAGAAAGCAAACAAAGAGAAAATTTGAGCCTCACTCGATGCATCAAGTTCTTTCCTGCTTCCTCAGGATCAACAAACCAGACCAACAGTGAGCTTGAAGGCCACTTGTCCTGGATTGCCATAGAAACCAGGGATATTGTTTGCTTAAGAAGTTACTCAGTAGTGGAGGAGAAAAGGGGGGAAGCAGCTCACCCACTAGAAAACAAGCAGTACAGTGAACAATAACCTAAAACAAGCCAAAGCAGAGCAACCTGTCAAATATTCTTTGCAAGACCTTAGACTTCAGCTCAGGTTAAACATACTGCTAGTCCACAAGTTAGTTGTGCTTTTAGAGTTTATGGGAATCAGCAGGTGTTGAGGAAAGAATTTTTTTCTCCTTTTTTTTTCTTCTTATCTTTGGTTCTGTGAGGATTTAAAAAAGTAAATAAATGATTTGTGAACCCTGACTGATTTGGATTGTTGGAAAAAGTTAAGCAAACATTTATTAACTGTTCAGGAGCTTTAAATCATATCCTAGAACCATCGGCAGCACATGGAGTTTGCCCAGGTGTTGAATTGCTGATGTTCAAATTATTTTTTTCTTAACATATTAAGGAGTTTTTGCCATTGTTACTTTAAATGTCAAGGTTCAAAGTTCATCCACAAACGAAAAGAAAAAAAGTTAAGAAAACAGACCCACCACAAGGTTAATTTAGCAACTTTTCTGTCATTTTAAATCACATGTGATTTTTATAAGCAGGTGGAGCATGTACAGTGGCATAAACGACTGAAGATCATGTGATATGACTGAAAAGTTCCTTAACAGCTAGAAAAATACATCTTGTGGAGGGATTTTTTGACTTATCAGCAGTCACAGTGCTAAAAAAGTAGTTGTCCTGTTTTCAAAATCACACTTAGGTAAGAGTAAAAATAGAGGAAAGAGAAACAGTTATTTATATTCTAGAAATATTCTAGAACAGATTCAGTAATGTATTTCTACATTGAACGGTAAAATAAGTTTGCTTTTGTGACAAATAAATTCAACACTTTAGAAAGACTATTTTGAAAGTACAGGCCCCAAACTAGAAACTGAACATAAACTAGGTTCACTTGTGATTTCCAGTCAGCCTAACTGCACGAACAGAAAGAACTTTCTCAGTTTTGGACATATGAGCTGTGTCCGTCTGCATGTCTGCATCATGGCCTCACATGGAAAAGAACTGCCAGAGGAACTGAAAAGTCTGACTGTGACACTTCACAAAGTTTGAAAAGGATCCAGGATAACTGGTGAGCAACTAAAGATCTGTGGAAACAGAAGGAAGGAGCCATAGTAGCACTAATCAGAGTTGCAACGGTTGTCCGCCCTAAAATGACTCCACCAGCAGTAAACTACTTTTACAATTTAGATGTGAAAAAGAGACTGCAGTTGTGTTAGATTTGACACAGGGGTTATCAGTGGAAATCAGTGCTTCTGTGACAGCTCAGACAGTGTCAAGGACACTTCATAACATCAACCTGTATGGACGGAGACTAAGAAAAGCCAGCTTGCTTGCTATTTGGTGCAAAACTGCAAGAAGAAACTTTCCTGCGAAGCATAAAAAGAAGCCTGATGAATGATAGGAGCACATTCTTTGGTCACACAAGACCAGGATAAATTTGTTGGGCTCAGATGGAGTCCAGCATGTGAACCTGACCAGGACTAGTACAGTGAATGCATAGTCCTGACTGTGAAGCACGGAGGTAAAAGTGTGATGATATGGGGCTGCATGAGTGAAAAAAGTGTTGTGAGATGAGATTCATAGATGCACCATGAATATCTGTGGATAAATCAAAATACTGGCTGACAAGATGACTCCCAGTCTGCAGATGCTTGCTGAAGAGAAATATTCCAGCATGAGAACCACCCAAAGTACAAAATCAGACAAGACATTCTAAAGAAGAAAAATGTGAACATTACGGCTGTGGCTCAGGTGGTACAGCGGGTTGTCCACTGATGGCAAGGTTGGCGGTTCGATCCCTGGTCCCCCCCACATGCCGAAGTGTCCTTGGGCAAGACACTGAACCCCAAGTTGCTCCCAATGGCAGATTAGCGCCTTGCATAGCAACTCTGTCACCATTGGTGTGTGAATGGGTGAATGAGAAACACATTGTAAAGCGCCTTGAGTACCGCTAAGGTAGAAAAAGGCGCTATGTAAGTGCAGACCATTTACCATTTTACAACTTGACTTGAAACCAACAGAACGCCTTTAAGGAATTTTAAAGAGAAAGGTTAAGTAACACAACCTTTTAAAATTGGACGTGACAAACTATTAACACTACGACTGCCAATACAGTCACAAATTGTCAATCACATGGTAGCCTGCTGTAAAACTTACCCTGCTTTATTGTCTGTTGTCCTCTACATGGGACCATAATTTACAATATGAACACTGGGCGGTATTGAAGAAGACTTGAAACTAGCGATTAAGACCACAAACTCATTGGAATGATGTTTGCTGATCTAATGGATCACCTGAAGACAAGGGTCAATTCCTCATGGACTTCTATACAGTCTGACTTCTTTTTACAAACAGAAGAGACACCCCCTGCTGGTTGTTCGACAGAAAAAACAACAGGTTTTTTATTGGCTTCATTTTTCAGATTTGGTTGCTGCATGAATCCTTGATATACAGAATCAGATTCAAAAAGGTTTTATTGCCAAGTAAGTTTTCACATACAAGGAATTTGACTTGGTTTTTTAGTGCATAGTAAATGTAAAAACACAACTTGTCACTTTTGCACATACATTTTGTTAATTTCTGGTGTAAGATAAAAGTCACATCTATTTAGCTATAGCATGCTAGCAGTGTTAGCCTTAAAAGCTGGACAGACTGTGTTTTTCTTTGTTTACTGACACTGTAAAGTTTTGTCCACTGAAGATTTAAAATGGCTGTTTTCTGTAATGCTTTACTGAAGTTGATTATGAATGTGCTGCAGTCTTAATGAGTGAGCATTAGAGCCATTTAGACACTTAGACTTTAGACAAAATAAATTACAAAAATGGTAATTTCTTTTGTTTTTTCTGCAGTACTGAAAACGTACTAAACCCTGAATAAAAAACCACGGTTCATATCGAACCATAAATATTCTGCACATGCACACCTTGTGGTGAATAATGAGCATTTGGTCACTTTTAGTGAACAAATTTTGTTAGACGTACCATCGCTAGCAGTTTCCCACCGTGAGGATCTTAGACTGGCACTGTCAGTGTCTTACTCATTTATTGTTGATATATTCTTTTACATCATTATAATTACTGAGAATCGACTCGATTAGGTTATATTTTTAAAATCAGCTTCAGAGCCATTTCATACTATCAAACTTTAAGCATCCTGGATACCTGGAAACAGAAAGAAAAGTTGCTTTACTGACGGAAATGTCAAATATTTGTTAAAGGGCTCTCGCCTCGAAATCTAAGTAGGAAACACATTTTAAGAATGAGATTCTCAGAGCTGTTTTCTCAAAGTTTCTCTTGCTGCTTAGCACTTTACTAAAGTAAAAGTAACAACACAACAGCAAAAAGCAAAAATACTTCATTTCAAATTAAAAGTTTTGCATGTAAAATCCTATATAAGTACATTTATATAGCAACAAAATGTAGTCAATTACTTATTTGACCTTTTCTTACCCTTTTTTGCCAGATCACACCCCCTACACTCAAAATACACAAAATATTGAAGATACAGTATCAGGTTTTTGGATTTTTGCAAACTAATCTTATGCAGACTATAATAAATCATGAACTAAACAAAACATGATCAGCTTTGTGCAAAGAAGCTCCCTTAGAATTTATGAGAAAGGAAACCTGTTATTGCAGCAAACTGCTTCAGTTTTCACGGCACCAAGATGGACAATAATCCGACATTCAGATCTCAACCTTAGTTCAGTAAAATTGAAAAAATACCAGGATTCTAACTGAACAAAAAGGCATCATTTTCTGTGCTTTTATGGTCCAACTTGGCAGGATTTTGACTTTTTTCTCAACATACTTTGCCATAGAACATCTACAGCTCAGTCAAGGCAAATACTTGTCTTTTCTGGGGTACAAAATCTGCATGATCTCAGTCCATAATTGTAGGTCCACAATTATGTGAAGTAGCAACACAGACTTGAGCAGCATATTGCCAATAGCCTTGATGTGATTAACCAATAATATTGGACAGAAAAAGTGGCACCCCTGACTGTGAAATAGCCAGAAAGAAATCTTTGTCATTTACAGACCTAATAATGGAAAAAACTTGAGTGGTATAATCTGCACTCGGCCACAATTTACCCCAGAACATTAACCAGCGAGGTTATTTTATTTGCCGGGTATAGTTTGGCGGGGGGGGGGGGGGGGGGGGGGGGTTAATGTGGCCTGTTACACCTGCAAGGGATGCTATTAAACCATTCTGCTTCTGAGCTGCTCTAAAGCCCTTCGAGGCGCATTGATTATGTGTGACTTTCTGCAGTATGAATGAATCTGTCTAAGTGATGCTATTTGATGTTTTGGACACAGTTGCCTCGACTACTCCACCCTCTCATCTTCCATCCGCTGCCTTTTATCAGCTTTAAGTGTCCAAATCACTGAACCTGAACTTTTATGTGTCGCACTTTGTAAGAGGCATCTGGTTTCTAAAGAAGCTGCGTATAACAGATCATTTCTCTGCTGTGAAGGCCGAGTGCAGAATGAATCGCATAAGTAGTGCAAAGTGCAGACTTGCAGAGTGCTTATATTTGTTATATCTGAGGGGTAATCAGTGTCTTCTGGTGCTAATATACTATCTGAAAGGAGGAACTCTGCATTGCAATAAGCAGGAATTTAAGTTCACATCCTAATCTGAACAATAGCCTGCATTATGCATTTGCCTTTTTTCACTCACCTGAAGCAAAAACCTTGAAACTGTTCTTATTAAAAACAGCTGACTGACCTGCAAACATCTAGGGCCAGAACCAGTAATGGTTGTGTGCTGCTAAAAGTCGATTGCATTCTGTTGACACACAGCACATATTCTTCTTCCTAGAAAGTGCAAGTTAATACTAAACAAGGAAGTATTAAAGGGGCTTTATAATGTGAAACCTTTCAGATTCTTTTCTAACCAATTAAGTAAGAAGCAGATCCTGACTCACCCTTAAAGACAAAGTTGTAGGCTTCATCTGACCCCATGTTCTGTCCATTCAGCGTTGCCAGTCTGAACTCAGGATGTAAGAAGAAGCTAAAAGCTAAAAGTCCTCACACTTCAGGGCTGCAGAACTCACGACCTGCCTTAGTGAGGAGAAAGCTGGCTTGTTTGAACAGGACATGTATCCAGGCTGTTGTTGCTGCAGCAGGTGGAGTCTGAGCCAGGGAGTGGCGACGGAGGCGGGTCCCAGAGCTGCAGCAGGTTAGGCAAGTGGGGCGATCGGACAGGTAGAACTGAGGCGGGCTGTCAGGCGCCTCCTACTGGATCAGGTTACTGCGTGCAGGAAGCAGCTTAGCGAGCAGCTCAGTTCTGATTAATGAGTCTCAGCAGAGAAAATAACAGAACGACAGCCCAGGAACCGTGAAACCATCCCTGCTGAATTTACAGGAATGTGAGCACATGCATGCTAGATTAGTCTTTCTGTCTCTCCCTGTCCATTAAAACCACCTCATAATACCTAATTATACCCCGGCCTGCTGTTCCTCAGGATCATTTATGTCTGCTGGCCTCCCATTTCTTCTCTGTGATCATTATTTTTAGCATTTGTTGGATGTTGAAGAATTGAAAAAAACATACATTAGATATGACTCGCAACACAGGTTCCTTTTTTTCCTTTCTACTCCTGTCACTGTGAACTCCGTTTACCTGCAATATAAAATCCTCCACATGGGAACAATGAGGATTCAGAATGATCCTTTGTAATGTATTGTCTTTCTGAAATGTGTGAATGTCTTTCAAATGTTTCTTTTTTTTCTGTAAATAAAAAAAAAAAGTCTGTGTGTGTGTGTGTGTGTGGTGGTGGTGGTGGGGTTTCTGTTTTATTGTATTTAAAATATTTTGTCTCTTTACATGTTTTGTCCTCTTTACATATTTAGTTTTTTATTTTTTAAAAAAATATTTTTATTCTTCTGATGTTTTATTGCTTCTTCTACTGTTCTATTTTTTTTTTTTTTTAAAAAGGTTTTTAAATGTTTCATTGTTTTTCTAATGCTTTAATGTCTTTAAAAACGTTTTATCATCCTTTTTGTTTTCTTGTAATGGTTTTATCCCTTTTTAAATGTTTTTATTTTGACTTCAAAAAGTTGACATTTTTGTCTTTTCTGTTTTATTGTCTTTTTAAAATGTTTTATCTTTTTTAATGTTTTGTTTTCTTTTGTAATGTTAAATTGTCCGTTCAAATGTTTTGTCTTATCTTGTCTTGTCTTTTTTAAGGTTTAGGTTTTTGTTTTTTAAACGTTTTATTGCTTTTTCTAATGTATTGTATTTTAAAATGTATTGTTTTTTAATGTTTTATTTGGTTTTTATGTTTGTCTTTTTTTAATACATTATTTGTCTTTTTAATATATTCTTTGTTACCTTTTATAACTGTTTTGTCTTGGTGCTAAATAAGTGAAGTTTATTAGTATTCCTCCTATAATATCTTAAACTTTTGACAGCAAGTCATTAAAGTGTTCCACACTTCTGCTAAATATCCTTTTTTTTTTTTTACCTTGTTAATATGTTTGTACTATTTTTTCCACACTAAGTTTGTAAAAGAGCGATAAAGACAGTAAATAACACTTGTAAACTTCTTTCCAGTGATTGAAGTGGGGAGCTTTGAAATGTCACAGAGCTCTTAAACTGCTGCTTCTTTAAACAATGAATTTCGGTGAAAATCTTGGCAAATCTGATTATTCAGCCTTAACATAATATGTGTGTTACCTCCATCTTTGAGCACACTCATGTCAGCATAAACACAAAATGCATTTTTTTTTCTTTATTTATCACCTTTGTAATAAAGCACAGCTAAAATGTCTTAACTTCATTTTCTCAGACAGAAAATCTTTCCACACATCCTTTGTCATAATATGCATTTTAAGGTCATGATGGGATTCAAAAACTTCAGTTTTCTGATCAGCAAACCTCAGAGAAAAAAAGAAGAATGAATTGACTGTGGAAAATGGAATCTTTTCTGCAGTTCGTCCGACTGAAGAATTCGGGCAAAGAGTTACAAACAAACAAGAAAACCAAACAAGTTATCAGTTTCAATCACTCACACACACGCAGAGGTTCACTCACTCATAGATACATTAGCAGTGTGCACTTAGTGAACAAGCAGAATGTTGCAGTAGTCCATGAATGACCTGGATCACATGATGTTTTGTTGCTCCAGGCAAACAGACGCAGAGCTTCAGTCTCCACTATGATGCAGCCACTTGGGTTAAAGGTTCCTCCAGGTACTGCACCAGAGCCTCTGCCTGCAAAAACAACAAAAACACAGTGATGAGATGGAACAGTTCAAGCTAAACACTCAGCACTACTTTTTCCTACATTTAAGTGTTAAAAAATGTCTGTGTGACTACAAAAAGGTGGAACCTTTTCTATTATTTTCTACACAACTCCAACAAATATCAAATTTATTTCTGTTTTGTATCCTAAATGTAAAAATGAGCTCTGTGACAAACAGAAAAACAAGCAAATATATAAAATAGTAGAGAAAGCAGGATGTTGATGTTGTTAAAACTCTCACCTTGGCTTTCAGCATCCCAAAGCCCACTGTCTCTTTGGCGTACATGCATAGCAGTAGGTTGGCGACACGAGTAATGGCCACTCTTCCCTCCTGAGAAAAGGACAAAGACAGCATTATTAGTCTCATTGGGAAGTACTATCAGTATTCTTGTGCTCATATCACACAAACTCATCACTGTATTCCTGAAAACGGTGTCAGTGGTGCTGGAAGAAGTGCCCCTCTCACCATACAATCCATGAGAATGAATTTGAGTTTGTCTTCGTTGAAGGCTTGGTGTCCGTTCTTGTCGTAAGCCGCCCAGATGTTGCTCGCGATTGCAGCTGTCACACGAGCATCCGTGTCGCCGTAGCCGGAGTACGCCAGGAGCGAGCCTTCATTGTTCAGCAGGCTGAGGAGCAGGTGAAGTTACAAGTTTCAGCATCCAGCACATAAACGTGAAATGACTGTGGCTCAGACTCTCGGTGTATGGAGTTTACTAAAGCTCCTTAAAAAAAGCAAAAAGTGTGGAATGAACCATTTGAGCACAAGCCTACCGATATAATCTTAGCGCATATAAAACATAAAGTAATGGGAACCTCTCTAAACCGCGCACTAACATGTTGTCTAACCTGCCACATCATTTAAAACGATCACTTTCTCCTGTCCACAGCTTGTGCCTCTCATGTAATAACATCCAATTAGGTCATGGATCGATTTAGAAAAAAATGACTTTTACCTCTGTGTCTCAAAATAACATATAAAAATATGACTTAAAAACTCTAAAGAACATTTATGAAGCCAGTTTGAATTAAAAATAATAGATAGTTTAACACCACATGCAATTGTCAATTTCAAGATTAGGGGATATTTTGCTTCCATAATAAGCCTTTCTTTAGACTTGTGGAAAGAAAAAAATACACATTTAGTTGTTTATTTTAACACATTTTTGCGTATTTGTTGATGAAAATTGGTGCATATTTAATGAGATAATGCATAATTCAACATAAAACTGCGGAAATCTTGTGACACAAAAAACAATAGTCTGATTATGGACAATTAACTGGGGAAGTTTCATGTTGACATCAATTAGTTAACAGTGGTTTCCAAATTTATATATATATATATATATATATATATATATATATATATATATATATATATATAAAGCAGCACTTACATACAACAAACTTTCTCGTTTTATCTTGTCTGTATTCTGAATAAACAATACATGAATACAAACATATGAGGTGCGTCAGAAAAGTTTCAGGACTGATGTCACAGAAGATTTTTTTCAAATCCCAACTACAAGTTTTCCCCTTCCAAGTAATCCCCCTGGAGTCTAACACTCTTTCCCAGCCTTCTCTGCCACGCCGCCATGCACTCCTGGAAGGATTCTTCTGAGATCCTCTGCAGCTCCATCGTCACAGCCATCTTGATGTCGTCCACGTCTTCAAAACGGGTCCCCTTGATGACCCCCTTGAGCTTGGGGAAGAGGAAAACAATCCCACGGAGCAAGGTGGGGTGAGTAGGGAGGTTGCTCCAGCACAGCGATGTTCTTCTCAGCCAGGAACTGTCGGATGCTCAGGGCATTGTGAGCAGGCGCAATGTCATGGTGAAGCAGTCACGACTTGTCCTGCCACAACTCTCGCCCCTTCTCATGCACTGAACAAAGCAAACGCTGCAGGATCTCTTTGTAGATGTGCTGGTTGATCGTCTGAAGAGGAAAACTGGTAGTTTGTAGTTTGGGTTTGAAATAAATCTTTTGTGACACCAGCCCTGGAACTTTTCTGACACACCTTGTATAGAGGGGTTTTATTCATGCACCATTCACAGCCTGAATTACACAACACTTTATTCTTAAAAACATTGCAAAACGTGATTTGTTTTCTGTCTGTTGACTGTACTTTCTGATTTATGGAGTGAAAAAAAAAGCAAACAAAACAAAACACTGTTGAACCCTCTCTATAAACATTTGAAGCTAAAATATTGACAAAATAAAACCAAATTTTGAGGCTGAACTTATCCAATTTTCACATTTATATTTTGGAAACTTGTGTAAATTAGGGCATTTTAACTATAAAATACCTAATTTGCATACATTAACAGAAAATGTGTGTCAAGTGGATCATTACAGAAAATTTTCTTGCTTTTTTGAAACACTGTAATATTTGCAATGGTGGTACTATTGTAAGAATGGAAGTGAACTAATCATTACATTTAATTAAAAATAAAGCAACAGATAATCAGGTTAAGAACAAAAGCAACAAAAACCCAGTTTGTTATACTGCACTTCTAAATTATTATAAGATACTATTTGTATGTAAGGCATGAGTGTCACTCATTCCACAACCACAAATTCAATACAAATAATCACTTTTTAAAAACTGAAATTTAAACAAAGGCCCAATGCTGCAGTGTCAACATATTTGGGAGGTAATGTTTTGTTTTTTAGGACTGATGAATTTAACTGAACTGCTATGACATTTTGACAGTGGGTTATTACAAAACCAGAAATATATATCTAGGATCTCTTTGATTTGTTTGTTAAAAAAATGTAAAAACTAAGTATGCATATTTTTTTTCTGTAAATGTGTTGAAGCTATTTATTTATCTTCATCAAATGTCAAACTTTTTACTTGAAAAGTAACGCTGTGTTTCTAAAACGTCTTCTTTGCAGCGCTGACAGTAAAATACACACTGGTTGACTAATATTAGTCTGTTATTAGCATATCGTCTGTTCATGTTGGACATTCACCAGACATTTTGTGTTTATATTTATTATTACATGTCTGTTTAGAAAGTCCATCGTTCTAACTGGCTGTAGCTGTCACAACAATAAGCTAAAACGGTCAAAAACGCCTCGATTCTCGCATAAATTAGGATGTCGCTAGCATGTTGCTAGCTAGCCGTACTTACAGAGTGCTTTGAACTCCGTTTGTGTTCGCCTGACTGAGGACCTGCGTTAAAGCCTTCGGCCGTAACATGATGCCTACCCACTGACGTCTGACAGTACGACAAAAATATTTTTTATACTCCAAAAACCTTAAACTAGTGGGTTAAAGTGCAACAAACTACTCCGACACACAGTCAAGTCAGCTGACTGTTTTCTTTTATTTCCGGGTACTTCCGAAATGCAAGATGGGAAATGTAGGCAGTGTTCAATTCCGATAAAAGATTTTTTGACGTGTAAACGATTTTACTATGATTCATTTACTTAACTACGACCTTTATCTACACACACACAGTGTGTTTGAGTATGTTAATTTCTTAGGCTACTTTTGCATCTACTATTTTTTATTATTTACATTTATCCACTAGTTAACAATTATTATTTAATTCTACATTACTTACACACACATACCAAATACATTTGTATTAATAACTATATTTATACATTATCCATTTATTGCCATTGCTCCAAAACAAAACAGACAAACCTTAAGAACATCAGCATTTCAAAGACAGATAAAAAACAAACAAAACACACAAAATGGTGCATTAAAAAAAAAAAATACAGAAGAAATAAAAGACAGTTGAAAGGAGATTAAGGGTCAGATAAAATCAGAAAAGGCCCTCAGATAGAATTGTTTTAAGACTGGAATACATACAAAAGAGAATATCTGCGGTATTTCTTCATTTTCGTATTTTCAGTTTCTCCACCGCTGCACAGCTGACTGTCAGTAACTGAGATGTATTTTGCTTTCAGAGTGTAGCAATACACCTGATGGATTTTTCTGATATCACTGGAAACAGCAAACAATTCCAAACAAAAATTTCAATTAACAATTAAATTGCAGTATCAAAGTAAGTTATTCACACACATTGAAAACAGACAATATTGCAAAGAATTCATTAGATTCTAAGAAGAGTTCACATATTTCCCAAAGGGTAAACATTCAGGAATATTTTTTACATTCACACAAATCAGGCGCTACACTGTTTGTATTAAAACACAACCACACTATTTTTTTTTTATCTGTGCTTAGCTGCTTGTTTTGTCCATCCATCATCAATACACCACTTAATCCTCACGAGGGTCGTGGGGGGGCTGGAGCCTATCCCAGCCGACTTAGGGCGAAGGCAGGGGACACCCTGGACAGGTCGCCAGTCTATCGCAAGGAGAGACAGACAACACACTTAGAGACAGACAACCAAGCACACTCACATTCACACCTACGGACAGTTTTGAATCACCAATTAACCTCAACATGTTTTTGGACTGTGTGGGAGGAAGCCGGAGAACCTGGAGAGAACCCACGCTGCACGGGGAGAACATGCAAACCTTCTTGCTGCGAGGCAACAGTGCTACCAACTGCGCCACCCTGCAGCCCCGCTTGTTTTGTCTTTTAAGAAAATCCAGTATATCCAGTATTGCAATAGCGCAGTCTGGCGGCACTGCAGGTAAAGGGACATCTTCTAGTTGAAGTATTTTGTTGTTGTCTTCTTCAAATATATTTTACCTTATTGACTATCCCTAACCTAGATATAGCTTTGGAGAGCAAAAAAAAAAGAGAGAAGACTTTCACTTACTCCTCCTTACGAAAACATACAGGAGGCAGTATTGACGAGCTTAAAATACAAGAAGCTTTTCAAGGAAAGAAAACATCAAGCGTAAAGAACCTGTCAGAGTAAGAGAAGAGAGAAATCTGGACTAATGTCAGAGTAAGTGATTGCAGATAAGTAAACACTTGCTGGGACTCAGTCGTGACTACATGTAGGTCACTGACCAACTATACCTTCCTGCAAGTCTGACTACCAGATATAAGGATGTAAACAAACAAGTGGCTGTGTTGCATTTGGGAAAGTTAAAAAAAAAATAAAAAAAAATAGATAGATAGAAAAAGGTAGGGATGTCGTAAGGCCTGTGAGATGCATCAGTCGTCTACTATGACACACGGCATCCAATAACTTATCAGCTGTCGCGCCCTCAGCTCAATTTTGGTCTGGTTGTACTTGTTTTCAAAGTGATATAGAATAGAATAGAGTAGAATAGAATAGAACAGAATAGAATAGAATAGAATAGAATAGAACTTTATTGATCCCTTTGGTGCAAACCTCAGGGAAATTGTTGTACTAGAAAAACAGCAACACAACACCAACACAACATCAGCAGCAAAAGTAACAACAACAATAGCAACAATAGTAACAATAATCATAATAACACTGGATACAGTTACAAAATTTGCCGAAGTGCCTAAACATTGCACATATCTTGTGGTCTGAACTTAAAAACAACCGAACATCAACTGTAGCAACACCCCAACTCTAAACTGTGCTAAATACTGGAAGAACGAGTCGCGAAACCTTGTGTAGAAGTCCTGTGAAGCAGAAATTGAGAACTAAATGTTCATGCTAAAATGAAGGAAGTTTAAAGTTTCCAAGCTCTAATGAGCAGCTGTAAGTTCGAAGTAATACTGAGAGTGCATCACAAACTTCCAGAAACTCCACAAATAAAATGAAACGAGACTGACAGTGCCCAGGCTTCTCCTTTGTAGAATCTGACTACTTTATAGACAGCCTTCTGAAATTTCTCCATTTATACTGGAGCTGGACGGAACTTAATGTCATTTGTGGTACCACATTTAAAAAAAAAAAAAAGAAAAAAAAGAAAAAAAAAGGCATTTAAAAAAAAAAAAGAAAAAAAAAGGCATTTAAAAAATTCCACTGCAGCATCCAGAAACTTATTTAACACAACCTACATCTAAAGCACAAACTGTACAGTTTTCACTGGAATTACTGGCTACTGAAGAGTCCCTATAAAATACTGCTCCTCACAAATCTCAGTCGAACCTCTGTATATATGTTTTAATAAACTGAGCTGCCATGACATTTGGATGGTTGGTTCTTAGTAACAGAGTGGAAAAATGAATACATTAACTTTCTGTGATAAATTCCTAAATTCTTCATCCATTTTGTGCTGAAGAACCATCACATGACCCCCTTTTATGTGAGCATGCACAGATTCTGAAGAAGAAAACCTCGTTAGCAAACAAGCTTTATATTTGCTCTGACAGTTTTTAGGTTTTGTCAAACTTGCGTCGTGGTCAGGGTGACGGTCAGTGAGGTACTCAGGTCAGCAGCCTCTCGATGGTGGCGCTGACGTCCCCTCTGGCAGTGTGAGAGCCTGCAGGTTGGCTTCATGGTTAGTGAAGTCCATGGAGCTGAGCTGGTCAAGCTGCTGCTGGAAATGAACTCTGGCATCTGAAAGAAAAACGACAGCAGACAGGTATTCTCTACGTGCTGCCGTCATTTACTCGGCTTTGCTCCTCAGTTTTTCTTTTGTTATTTCCTCCCTGTATGAGTCTCATTGTCTCGTGTATTTATGCTGTGTGGTTTCCCTCTTTCTGTCCGGGTTTGTCTGTGTTGTTTCATTCTTCTGGTTTTGTTGGAACATTTTCATCATTTTATGGACTTTTCCTGCGCTTACTTGCACATTCTTTTTTGCTTCTTACAGCAACGTTTATGTGTTCCCCAGTAAGCCATTTTTTTGCACATTTACTCAGCTGTTGTCAGGTGTCTTCGCAATGTAATGTGGGAATTTTATATGTCAAATTCATTCCAAAAATATTTGACAGAAAAAAATGAAAAAAAAACCCCAAAACATTTCGAATCAGAATCAGTTTTGTTGCTTCGGTGTTTTGCACATACGAGGAATTTGAGGTTGTTGTTTTACCGCATTACAGTAAAATGCTGACAAATACAGATTTACTAAAGAGGGATAAAAAGATTTTAAAAGAAACCAAGTACAGCAAATCCAGGGAATTTTAAATTTCAAATACAATTTTAAAAAGTTTGAGAAATATTTGTGATGTGCAAGAATGTGCAAATTTTTATTATCGCTATGTTATTATTATTTATTACATTGACTGACGTTTTTAGCAAGTTTTGCCACAAACACTTAATGCTCATCACTGTTTTAATATTTTTAGAATTCTTCTGCATTTGCTAACATTTCAGAGGCGCTTAATAATTTGTCTGTTATTAATAATTATCTGACATCTACATTCAATACTTTACCTCTTAAAACTTCATGTGCAGCATTCGTTAGATTTTAAAATCTGAAACTTAGAATACAATAACCTTCCCTCTATCTGAATATAATAAAAAACTCTGGACCAATGGCAATAAATTGATAATGAAATATATATACATTTTTGATAATTTAGGTTTAAAAATGTCAGAATATCTGTGGTATTACTACATGTTCCAAATTTTCAGCGCAGGAGGCAGATGAGCAGCAGCGCTTTCTGTGGTGTGGACGTTGGGATTTCTACATTTCCTTTTCCAATTACAGAAAAAGCAGCTTTTCACCACACTGAAGGAAAGGAGGAACACAAAAAGCAGAATATAGACTCTTAAAGGTAAATATTTGCTGATAGTGGTTCTTTTTGGTTTTGGCGTTTATGTCAGCTAGTAAGTAACGAGTATTTGAGGTAAATTTCAAAGCAACTGTGACATAATTTGTCCATCACACAGTTAAATGTTTAATATCCTGATTAGTGCTTATTTTGGCTACAACTGTTTTATTACCACATGTAAGGGTTACACTCAAAATTATTAATAATTATATAAAACAAATATGCTACGAATAGTTCCCTAATGTTTTACTGTACAAATTGCAAAAATGCACATTTCTAACAAATTTAAATGTGCTGCTATCTAGTTGTCCCAGTAACACGGAGAATTAAAAATGTTGAGGCTCCAGACGCCCCTAGAGCTCACCTGGTTGAGCAGGTGACCCATAAACAGGGGCTGTAGTTCCCTGACGCAGCGGTCGTGAGTTGGACTCCCGCTCATGACAGTTTGCTGCAGCTCGTCCCCCCTTTCCTGTCTCACTCTGACACTGCCCTATGTAATAAAGGCAAAAATGCCAGAAAAATAATCATTAAAAAAAAAAAGTGATGAGGCTCCAACCTACATCAACGCTATTTAACTATGAAGATAATAACTTGTGCTTAAATTAAAAAAAAACAAACAAAAACACAACAAATACGATAACATGAAACATACTAATGGTGCTCTGTCTGAAAACATCTGTGAGGCAGTTGCTGCCGGGTCAGAAGGGGAAGGGTTTTCTGCAGGGACGCTGACCCCTGTGGTTGGAGGAACTGGGAGATGTCCAGGAAGCCAACTGGAGAGT